CCCTAACTGAAAGAGAAGGAACAGCTTTATCAAAGCACATATGAGACTGTAGTGCACAGAGAAAATACTGCTGTTAAATACTTCTACGTGGATAGATAAGACATAAATACTCCATTTTTTGTCTGCAAATCCGTAGTTGTATTTACATCAAATCCATACTCAGTAAAGATGGAAATAGGAATGATGGGGAGAGAAAGAATTAGTTTTGCTTAGTAGCAATGGGGGAGTAGGGTAAAATAGATTGATTTGATCTTGCAATTGCTGCCCTGACATTTTCCTGGGGGAAAGAAGGGTGTTGGATATCCAAAGGGGGTTTTTTTAATGGAATTGGAAGTCGTGATTTTGTGATGGAGAAAATGGGAGCATGAAACAGATTGGACCATAAGGCACTGCTCAGAGAAAACTCAGAGAAAACAGGGAGTTTGAAAGCTCTTGTGGATTTCTTCATCTTTTTTTTCCAAGTGAGATAGGAAATAAAGTAGATAGATTATTAGCTTACAGGCTGATAATAAAACAGCCAAAGCAGATGGTAAGAAAGATAAAGGAAAAGAGAAGGTTTATGCATAGCCCATTAACCACAGTTTGTACTTTGTTTGCAGATTTTTATGAGAAACTCTGCAACAAATAAAAGTCCAAGTTAAAAAATTAGACAAAATTAAAGGAGGCTAAAATCAGCCCAATTAAGACAAATATATAATACACAGTTGACTCAGAAAACTTAATTTTTTACAGTGAAAGTAAATGTTTGTCAGTTTCTTGCAAGCCTTAAAGGTAGTTAAAAAATTGTAGTTGCTTGCTCTTTGGTACATAAAATAAAACCCAGTGATGCTTTTAGAAAGTTTTCATGACAAAACTAAATGTGTGAACTTCAGGGAAAGTGATTTTATTTTGCAGAATTTATTTGCCTCATTCTCATTCATTCTTACATCAGCATGATTTCCTAAAGCTCACAAACACTGGGACATATGTTCCCAGGTATCAGCCTGGGACTGTCTGGGACATAGAGAGGAAAGGATGCTGGAGCAGGTCCTTGTTATGTCTCCAGGGTTCTTCTGGACTGGAAAAGTCCAGAGGGATATTTCTTGTGAGTCAGTAGTTGATAGGAGGTGGTGCTTTGCATCAGGGATTGGTTCTGGAGGAATTCTGCAGTTATCCTGACTCTACACAGTTGCTTTTTCTTGCATTCAGTGATGCTGTCTCAATGGAGGAGAGGTCCTGGCTGACTGGAAGCTGGTGAATGTTGTCCTGATTTTCAAGAAGGGCAAGATGCAGGACCCTGGAAACTCCAGGCCTGTCAGTCTTACTTCAGTGCCTGGTAAAGGTATGGAGAGGATTATTCTGGAAGTATTGAAAAAAACCTGAAAGCCAGCACTGTCACTGGTCACAGCCAGCAGGGCTTCAGGAGAGGAAAGTCCTGCTTCCTTCTCTGACAAGGTGACCCCCCTGGTTGATCAAGGTGTGTACAGACAGGTCCGTGAGTTGTTGGCCTGTGGCCGGCCCTTGGTAGCCAAGGCGTGGGAACAGACTGTGGGAACGGGAACTTTGCAAGACATGGAATCCCCAAACCCTAGAACACAAGGGAAGCCAGTTGATGTGATCTCTCTGGGTTTCAGTGAAGCTTTCAATCCTGTCTCTCCCAGGATCCTTCTGGACAAACTGTCCATCCCACAGCTGGATAGACACATCCTGTGCTGGGTGAGATGTTGGCTCTCGGGTCAAGCACAGAGGGTGACAGTGACTGGGTGACATCAGGCTGTGACCTGTCCCTAGTGGGGCTCCACAGGGCTCCATCTGGGCCCTGTGCTCTCCAACATCTCCATCACTGACTTGGACACAGGACTGGAAGGGACACTGAGCAAGTTTGCAGATGACCCCAAACTGGGAGGAGCTGTTGAGTCCCTGGAAGGCAGGGAGGCCCTGCAGAGAGACCTGGACTGATCCGAGGGCTGGGAATCACCAAGCATAGGAAGTTCAACAAGGGGAAGTGCTGGATTCTGCCCCTGGGATGGGGCAACCCCGGATGGACGGACAGACTGGGAATGAGATGCTGGAAAGCAGTGCTGGGAAAGGGCCCTGGGGGATCTGGTGGGTGGGCAGTTGGCCATGAGTCAGCAGTGCCCTGGCAGCCAGGAGAGACATCCCTGTCCTGGGGGCATCAGGGAGGGAATTGTCCTGCTCTGCTCTGCCCTGGGGCGGCCTCACCTTGAGTTCTAGGGGAAGTTTTGGACACCACAGTATAAAAAAGGCATTAAGTCACTAGAGAGTATCGAAAGGAAGGCCATGATGATACTGAAGGTCCTTGAGGGGAAGCCGTGTGAGGAGCGGCTGAGGGCACTTTGTGTTCAGCTGGAGAAGAGGAGACTGATGGGAGACCTCACTGCAGTTACAACTTCCTCAGGGGGGGCAGAGGAGGGGCAGGGACTGAGCTCTGCTCTGTGGGGACCAGGGACAGGACCCCAGGGAATGACTGGAGCTGTGTCAGGGGAGGTTTAGGCTGGGTATTAGAAAGAGGTTCTTTCCCCAGAGGGTGTTTGGGCACTGACCAGGCTCCCCAGGGCAGTGGGCACCTGCCCCAGCCCAGAAACCCCCCGTGCCCTGGGCTGATCCCCCAGCGTGGGCAGCAGGGCAGGGGGGGATTCTGCCCCTCTGCCCCTCAGGGGAGACCCCCCTGCAAAGCTGCTCCAGCCCTGGGAACAGCCCAGCAAGGACATGGAGCTGCTGGAGCCAGTCCAGAGGAGGCCCCAAGAGGATCCGAGGGCTGGAGCAGCTCTGCTGGGAGGAAAGGCTGGGAGAGTTGGGATTGTTCAGCCTGGAGAGGAGAAGCTTTGGGGTGACCAAACTGTGGCCTTCCAGGACCTGCAGGGAGCCTGCAAGAAAGATGGAGAGAGACTTTCCAAGGGCCTGGAATGGCAGGACAAGGGGGAATGTCTGCCAGAGGGCAGCGTTAGATGGGATACTGGGGAGAAATTCTTGGTTGTGAGGGTGGGGAGGTCCTGGCACAGGTTGCCCAGAGAAGCTGTGGCTGCCCCATCCCTGGAAGTGTCCAGGGCCAGGTTGGATGCGACTTGGAGCAACCTGGGCTAGTGGAAGGTGTCCCTGCCCATGGCAGGGGGTGGAATGGAGTGATCTTTAAAGTCCCTTCCAACCCAACCATTCTTTGATTCTATGATTTTGTAGGAATGTACAAAATAGGATAAAAGCCTAAGACTCTTCCCCAAGGAGAGGTGTTTCATTGTGTATTATCTTTGCTCAGCATAAATTTATCAAAAATTCCCTTCTAAGGCAAGAATTCTCATTTCTTTTCCAGAAGACTCTGTCCAGGTTTCCCTGTTACAACAAACGTGTCACATTGTACTATGTATTTTTGTTTGGATTCTGTTTATCAGTTGCATCATGTAGGAGTTACTTCATAGAAGTTTCTGCAGGCATTGTTATACTCTGATTTCCGTCCAAAGGCCAAATTAAACACTGTAGGATTTTCTCTGCAGTTGGGGGATTGACATGTAGTTCACTATAAAGCTGTGCAAACACCTGCTTTGGCAGCTCATCTGCTACATAGAGAAGCCTGAAGGGAAGTTAACTGCACTGTGCTGAGGCTGGCAGCTTTCCAGAGACAGGTGGTGGATATTAATTAACCCAAATGAGAGGTGAAGTGTGCTGGTAGGAACTTATCACAAGCTGGGAGCTGCTGCCTTTCAGAAAGATGAGCTGTTGCTTGTGAGGTAACTGGTGATACCTGTGTTGGCTTGGAGCCCAGGGCCAAACTCTCCCTGCCTTCCTGGGATGCTGTGCTTCCCCCCCAGCCCTGCATGGGCTCCACAGTGGTCTGCCCTGGCTCTACAGTGTGCATTTCCAAATCTGCTCTTGAGCTCGTCCTACAACCTGTGTCACACAGAATCAGAGTCATGATGGTTGGAAGAGACCTTCAAGGTCACCCCAGCACTTCCATAATCACCCCTAAACCATGTCCCAGGTGCCACATTCAGATGTCTCTTGATCACTTCCAGAGACAGTGACTCCACCACCTTCCTCGGCAACTTATTCCAATGCCTGACCATTTATTCAGGGAATTTTTTTTTTAATACCTAATCTGAACCTCCCCTGGTACAACTTAAGGCCATTTCCTCTCATCCTCTCGCTTGAGACATGGCAGAAGAGACCAACCCCAGTGCAGTGGATAAAAAGAACACCCTGAAGTGACACTGCTGTGTTTTGGACCTAGCTCTGACTATTTGTCCTCTCCCAGGTAAAATTATTCACTGTGTGTGAGCTCAGTGAGCTTATAGTTTGAGCATGACCAAACCTGTATTTTACTCAATGCCTCACAAAGACCTTTGCCCCTTAAATTGCCCTGTGTAATGATATCTGATATGTCTGTTATGGAGTAGGAATCTTCCTGCTCTATTCAAATGGGTAGAAAACTTTTGGATCTCAATTTAAAGGCAGAGTTCTACTTTTTCCTTGTCTGGTTAGTGTTTTACTTGGAGGTTCCTCCATGCCAAATGAAGCTATCCAGTTTAGTCTTAATTTAGAAGAAAATATGGGGACAGAATGAGCAACAATATGCACATTATGAGGAGGAGGGTTAATTTATGTGTCTACAAAGAACAAGAAGGTGATGGGTATACCTGTGGCTTGCATTACCAGTGCCTCTAATTGCTGACAGAGTCCCAAGTAAGGGGTTACAAAGATTATTTTGAATGAAGCGCTTGATTGAAATTGGAAAAAAAAGACATTATGGTTAAATAGGAATGTGTAGGAATTAGTGTCCAAATTGGTTGGTTTGAAGCTCTCAAACTCATTAGTAATGTCACGAAAGTATTCTAAAAATTATGTGACTACCATGCAGAACACTGGAAGTAATAACCAAAATCTTCAACAAACCCAAAAGCCAGGAACTTTTGTAGAGTGAATTAAACAGCCAAATTATTCGGTACTATTTTTTTTTTCTGTAGATGAAGGCAAAGTTGTAATCCTCTTTGTTATTTTCCTGTTGTTAGCATCCTCCATAGTTGTGATGGACTGAAATGTCGGTAATGTCTTAAACATTGTCAAAATCACAGAAAGACTTTTTGTCAAACTACAAGGAAGCAACTGCCTGTCTGGGACCACCGAAGCCCGACTGGAATTTGGACTGTGACTGGGGACTTGAGATAAGGCTACTGTCTAATCATCTCACGTCTGAGGAGAAGTAAACAAGGCTCAGGAAAGAAGAATTTATGTGTGTTAAGAATCAGCCCTGGCTGGGCTCAGGGGGTAGTGGAGGAGAAAGGTTTTGGGTGTGTGATGGTGAAATCTCTCCACACCAAACCGAAGGAGTAACACCCTGACCCCCGGAAAGACCACGTACACACAGGACATTCACGTGAGAGGCAGCTGAGAAGGGTCATAAACCACCAAAGACCCCCAAAGCGCCCCCAGACTCATTCCTGAGGCCTTCCACTACCAGAGCACTGCACCTGATCCAACTGATCCAACAAATCCAGAGTCTGTTACAAGAGACTGCAAAGCTTCCCCCCTCCGCTCCATGGGAGGTACCTGGGCATCTCCTGAATGTATATTAATCCATTGGACTCTATGTTTTTTAGGAAACCCTCCCCACCAAGAAGACCAGAAGAACCTGACCGACGGGATGCAGCCAGGTGACATGGAGCGGTGATACTTTTTCTATTTTAATCTCTCTCTGTCACACTCTTTTTTCTATTCCCTCTCCCCCCCCGCCTCCTTTTTCCTGTTTCTTTCTTTCTCTCTCTGTCTCACATTTGCCACTGAACAAAACCCATACTATTGACTTTGGCATCTGGTCTTGTTTGTACCTTAATTCGGGTAGAGGCATTTCTAACAATTTTAATAACTGGATCATAACAATAGGAACAGGATTATTGGGCAGGAGTGCCTAAATTCCCAGCTTTCTGTGGTAAGGAACATCACAGGAGCATTGAAACGTGGTGGTGCAGATGAAGGCGTCTTTCAGCTGTCACCCAACAAACCTTTTCATATTTACCATCAAAAACACAGGTTATTTAATGCCACAAGTATTTACTGTTGGCATTTTTAGCTGCTCTTGTTTCTTAAGAGCAGATAAGTGTAAAAGATCTGCAGTATTTTGCATGAGAGGCTTACTGATATAAAATTATCAAATATTGATATAATCTTTGATAAGATTAGTGAGGACTGATGATTCCCTCTAGTGCTCTCTTAATTTTGCAGGAGAGAAAATGTAATTTATTCTTAATGAAACTTGTCAAAAGTCCACAAGATGGTTGTTTAATCAAGATAACACAAAATCACATTCAGAATTACCTTTGATTATAAGAGGTATCGTTGTCCTCCAATAATGTTGTATTTTTTCCTCAAAACCACTTTTAAATTTTGACTATTTACAGGATTTGTATCACATAGCTTAAATTCAGTAGCATATACAAAGTCAGATCACTAGACCATTGCTGCAACGGTGTATTTCTTAAACCAGTGCATCATTCCACAGTGATTAAAATAAAACTAGCCTTTCTAGGCTGCTGTAATGGTTTCTTCTTTGTTCTTCATCACACCTCTAAATATCTTCCCATTTGTAATTGCCAGAAGGTTTAGGTTCTGTGAAGAGTCATTCTCTCTCTCTTTTTATTTCCTTCTTTTTTCCTGAAGATATATTAAGCCTCCAGCTCTTGAAGTTGGCTTCAATTTACACTTTGGTTACTGAACCCGTGTTTGATAAATCATTGTCCACAGATGTTGTCTGCATTAATTGCTTAATTTTCCAACTAATGGATCAAAACTTGAGCAGATGTGTATTTCCTAACCAAGGCAGGGAAGAGAAAAAGTAGGCACGGGATAACTGAAGTCAGCTCGTGGCAGGATTGAGAGCACTCACCTTTCCTCTCTAATGAGTCTCTGCAGTTCACCGTGGGGTGAGGCATTGAGAGGGGTTTAGAAAGGCAAAATGGGAGCAGCAAAAGCTGGGGGCTAGGAGATGGTCAAGCAGAAGATGCTCAGTTCTAGAATAGGTTGAAAATTAACCTAATTGGAACTGGTGCACAAAACAGACCCGTGCAGAATGGGGCAGGTACCTCCTACCTGCGGGAGCACAGGTCCTGTGTCTGCAGCTCGAGGGGAGGAGACTGTGCTTGACCTCAGGACGTGATTTTCCTCTGAAGTGTAAATATGAAAATGCCAGCAGGGGTTAAGTTTTGGCAAAAAAATCCGGTGTTTTCAAAACTATCAGAGGGAGCCCTGGACTTGAAATCCCAAATAAGAATTTACCACATCCACTGGAAAAAGAAAACAACAACTGGGGCGGGGGATTTCTAAATAGGGTGGTTTGTTCCTGGTGGAAGCCCCAGGATGCATTCGCAGTAACTTCAGGTGCTTAAACCTAGTTTAACCTCTGACTAGTTATCCTGTAAACCTGGTCTGTAGTCTCTTTCCCTTAGACAGCCTGTGCTCTTCATTCTGGCTCTTAAATTGCATGCCTAAAGTCAAAACACCTTGAACCCTTGGTGAGCACAGCTGGAGCCCTCCTGCAGTACCCTGAGGTAGTAGAGGCACTCGAGGAGCCCCTCTGATGACCCACGATGTTTGCAGCTGTGTTTTCTTGCTTTATCTTGGTTTTGTTAAAGGCTAAGTGGCGTGGTAGCTGTAATTTCCGGGGCAGAAATGGTCATTCAGCCTGAGTTATGTTAAAACTCATTGTCTCATATTTTTTGGGGGGGTTTGGGTATTATTCATTACCAATTTTTTAGCTTTGTTTTTCTTTTTTCCTCACATTTTATGGGGCTCGGTCTACGTGACAAATTCCCATTTTTAGGGGAATTTTTAGCAAGTGCTTGTCTCTTTCCTTGCTCACCTTTGTGGTAATCCTTGTTCAGGTGATTGGCAATTAAAAATATTTTCTGAGGTTGCCAGAACTGAAACATGAACTTCTGACAGCTTTCATAGTAGTGCACAGGAGAACTGAAGTCTTTCATGTTTTCTTTCTGCTTTCCACTTGTCAAGTCTCATTGGAAAGCATCTAGTCACATGTGTTTGCTTACACATGAAGAGATTTGCATTTATCAGTGTAATCTAATTATGTCCTTTTATTAGGGTTGAACCTTTAAATGTTTGAAGAAATGTTGATTAACAATGACCTTTTTTTATTCTAACACATTGTAATAGATGTAATCTATTAATGAGAACATTCCAGGTCATGTGTGTACTTCATCTCCTGGAGCAAATGATGTCATTGCTGTTCTTTTCCTTTTGTGATGAATCAAACCAGTAAATAGTCCTTTGCTAGTAATTTCTTTGACCTGTTTATTTTTCTCTTCTGGTCAAAAATTTTCCGTGAACAGTTCCATTTTATTGTCTTCATCCATTGCATGAAGTATTTCCCCAGTGATTTCTGCAAACAATATTTAGCTTCTAATTATTTCATATACAGTTGAGTGATTTCAATAACATGTTTTCCATGTGCTGCCAGATAGTGTGCCAGCACGCCAAAGGGTTCAGGCTGCTCATCCTGAGCTGCAGTTATCTAAGTACAAGTTGTATTGTGATGTTACAGTCTTTGCAGCAAGACTGGGGGAAGGAGCCTTATTGTTCCTAAAATGAATTAATTTCCTAACATCTGAGAATTTGGAAGTTTTTACCGTGTAAGTAAAAAAAAATATATAAAAAAGAATTAGATATTACTATTTAAAACAAATACTCTTTAAAGTTTGCATACATAGCCAGGATGTGATCTGTAGGAAATCAGGTTAAAAAGGCCAGTTATTAAAATTATTTAAGAAAACAGAAGAAAATGAGGAGGTAAACAAGACAACTGTTAAACTGGGTTAACTCTACTGTCCTCTTACTCTTCAATTCCATTGAACCTTTGAATAATTTGAGTTTAATATTGCCATTTTTAACCAGAAAAAAAAAATAGAGACCTTTCAAATTACCTTTAAGAGAATAAAGAAAAAAGTACTTTTTCCCAATTACTAAAACTCAGTTCATATCCATAACCCATTGAGAGCAACAGTACTTCTGATATATTTCTGTGACAAAAACTGTATTGAACAATACAAAAAAGAAATCAGTCCTTCAGAATTACAGAGTATTTTTCATCAGCTGAGTGTATTTGCAGTTCCACTGGATCAGTCACAGAACAACACAGTACTTCTTAAGTAATTTTTAAAACAAAAGGCTTGTAACAATTCCAGTGTTGAACCTCTGAAAGAAGAAGAGCAATAGACATATACCTGTTTATAAGCACTTTTAACCTGTTTGTTTTTTTTTTACAGTGGTTACCCCAATTGTTATTTCAGTATAAATACCAATATTTGTTGGGATGTGGTGTCGTGGCCTATGTTTGAAAGCTGTAAATCCTACTCTTGTCAGTCACTACCACTTGAGTGATTAAAATATCAAGAACGCTGGGAGAGATCATTGCTGTCAGTTTATTAAAAAACAGGCCATGTTGAGCACTTAGATTACTTGTACAGGTTTGCATTATTTTCCAAGTATATCTGTACAGTTTTATTTTCTGCATGAAGAATATTGCAGTGCCTATGTGACCAGAGAGTTAAAAATAAAAGAATATCAAAAAGTAGATTATTAGGAATGCAACTGAAGCACCAGTGAGATTGAGTTCATCGTGGTATGCTCTTTGTACATAGGTAATGCTGTCAAACAGACCGAAATAACTGTTATCTTTGGGAGGAAATTAAATTATTCAAGGGCTAGATGAATAGTGGTTAAAGATATGATTTTATAATATTTCTGAAAGAATATGCCCTTGCAATTTTGTTACTTTTTAAAATATGCACTATACTTAAAACAGGTGTTATGCAGAGCTCTGAGAAGATTCAGTTCCCAATTTCAGTATTTACTTTTTTTTTTTTTTTGGTGTACAACTATCTGTGAGAATATTTAACAGTGAATTTTCATTAATTGGGAACAATTGGGAAGAAAGAAATATTTCCCATAGAGGTTTTTTTTTAAATCTCATTCTCATTTAGTGTTTGCAATTGAAGAACTCTCACTTTTTCAACTAATTTACCTTTCTGTGATATTCTTTACTCCTAAGGAGCTCTTTTTATTTTTTTCCTTTTTTTTTTTTTTACTGCCTTTCATCCCATTTCCTTGTAACAGCAAAGATTTCCAGTACCTCCAAAGTATTCCTTAGAATACTGAGGATGACCTCTGAGTTTGTGTCATAGCAGATTTAAGTAGCCCTCCTTTTAGGCCGTGGTAATTAATGAAAATACTTAGCAGGAGAAATTCATGGACTCATTAGGAAACTCTTTGATCAGCTTCTACCTATGTGACAGTTCCTAATTAAGCATGATTTTTTTTTTTTTTGTCTGCCATTTTATCACGTTTTCATGTTCTTGTGTTACACCTCATCTTTCTAGTTGTAGCAAAATTCCCACAAAGTCTCTGGGTAAACAAACCCGTTTGTTTTTTAGTGATGAAAACTATTAGATGAATGGAACTGAATAGGTGTCACCAAGAGTAATTTTACATATATCTCTATAAATCTGTCCTTAAAAAAGTACATTTTATTCTTCCTTTCCACAGTCTAAGGAAATTGAAAGCCACATGTCCTGCTTGCTTGGTGGAAGTTACAGGTAATACCAGCTTCTTGTGAGGCAAGGGCACTCAGCATGGACTTCCAGAGCCAAGGTCCTGTCCCAGAGAGCACATGGTTGGTAACAGAGGAGGAGGTTCTAGGTAGGGCTTCCAC